GTCTATCGACTCGTGATACCTCCTACTGACTCGTAACACCGCCTATTCACTCATGGCACCGCCTATTGATACTCGTGGCTCCGCCTACTGATACTCGTGGCTCCGCCTACTGACTTGTAACTCCGCCTCCCAACTTGAAAAGTTCCAAATCACGAACCAGTAATTTCAACGTAAATTTCGAGTTAGCGACGATATCCAAAGAAAAACTTTCCAGAAATTTCAGATGAAAATTGAATTTCCATTTTTTCGAGTCATACACATTTGCTCGCATAAAATTGCGCTTCTAAAACTTGAACGAAAACGAAACGATCCTCTTTTATCGCCTTTGCCAAATGCACACATTTTCTCGTGCCGGTGGCAATTCAGGCCGCGGAGCCGACGTTTTCCTCGATGATCACGGAACGCGGAGAGAGAACTTTATTGCCACCGCTGCTATCATTACTGTCATTGCTGGTTATTACGCTACACCAGAGAGAAAGTCGGAGTCCTTGGAATCTCCGGCGTACGATACATTGGGAAACAGATTTCTAAAATATTTCAAGCTTTGGAGCATAATCGTAAAAGCTGACGAAACGAGTCTAGTTTGCTCGTAGCAAAGACGTGCCCAGAATGAGGCAAGAATTATCCTTACACTGGTGGATATCAATGTTTAATTGTGTTTGTATTATTACTCCTCGTCGTCATCCATGATCTGTACAATCGTAGTCCGAAGAAGATCAAGTTATACTATAAACACAGCCCGAGGAAAATAATAACAGAGATCTTCTACAATTTCTGTTTATCCAGCCAGATCTTCTTCGATAACCTTCGACTTCTTTGCTCGTCTATTTCGATTGAAAACTATTTAATTGCGTCGCTGTCCTTGTGTTCAATGTTCTGTCCAAAGAACCAAGACAGATCCATGCTTCCTGTTGAATAATAATTATCTTGCCAGCTAATGTCCAATTTAATGGTTGGACAGGTTCCGGGGACAGCGGAGTGGTGACGGTTTCAGAGACGAACTGCAGAATCGGAAACGATGGCAGCGGTCAACGACGAAACAGCACGGATAACGATTCGCCATTCTACAGGCCGCGTTACTGTGATCCCCATCGAAATCCCATGGAAAGGGTGCTCCTTGAAATAGTCGACACAGAAGCGAAATACGTGGAGCATTTACGACAAATTATCCAAGTAAGTCTCCGTATGTCCATCCACTTTGCCTACGCTGGAATCGTGAAACTCATACCGTCTGCACTTTTTCAGGGTTACCTTATATGTTGGAGAAACGATCAGGCATCGTTTGCGCATCGAATGCAACTGAGTGACTTATTTAGTAATATCGAGGATATCTTCGAGTTCAACAGGTAAACTTCGTCTACGGATTAAGTCTAGAGCCAGTCTAGAGACTGAGAGATCCCCAAACTAAAATAAAGCTTTCGATTGCAGAGAGTTCCTTAAAGAAATAGAGAAGTGTGGCTTGGATCCTGTTTGCATGGCAAACACATTTATAAAGCACAATTCAGGATTCAAAGTGTACACCGAGTACTGCACCAATTACCCGAGGCAAGTCTTTAATTCGTTATCTAATCAATCGTTCCACGGGTATTAGGTTTCTAATGTTGGAATGTTAGACCGTGGTCAGAGTTTGAAAGTTAGGAGATGCTTGAGGGATTTCATCTCGAGGGTCGTAAATTTTAGCTTGAAATTAACGCGGTTCGTTACAGGACAGTTTCTGTTTTGACGGATTTAATGAGTCGAGAAGAGACTGCGAACGCATTTCGGGAAAGGCAAGCGGCTTTGGGACACGCGTTACCCCTTGGATCGTTTCTTCTCAAGCCGGTTCAGAGGATTCTCAAGTACCATTTGCTTCTGGAGGCAAGTTTCACGTTCAGTCCTGTCTCGTTCTAAAATTCTATCGTGAAAACCGAAGTTGGGCTTGTTTCCCAACGTGAATACGTTCTTCCTTCGGCGGTCGCGGAAAGAAAAGAAATCTGAGTTAACACCCTCAGTGCTAAACTGTCTAATTTACAGAACTTGTCGAAGGAGTACGGAGCGGACTGCGAGTCGAGAGAAAATGAGGCTGAAGGTAGGAAAGCGATCGAAGCGGCGTTAGCAGCGATGACTGGCATTGCGAAGCATATTAACGCTATGAAACGAAGACATGAGCACGCGGTGCGTGTTCAAGAGATTCAGTCGCTCCTGTATGGTTGGCCCGGTCCAGATTTAACCACAAGCGGCGAACTAGTGGCGGAAGGACGATTCAGAATGTTGAGGGCGAAAGCTCCTAGGCATGCTTTCTTGTTCGACCGTATGCTTCTTCTTACCAAGAAGAAGGAGGATGGACTTCTAGTCTACAAGACTCACATCATGGTATTACCTGTATATTCTCATCGTTAGACTGCGGAAGTTTATGCAAATGCATATTTTTATAGGAAATAGTTAAAAGAATGGGACCTAGACAGAAATTTGTTTTGAAATTAGAGTCCAATAAAAATACATTCTTTATTTTGCATATTTATGTTTAAAAACATATGCAATAGTATATTGCGTATGTGAAATATCTATCTCGACAAATTGGTTTCGTCTATCACCATACTTTGGTATCATAATTGTGTAGTGTTTACACAAATACAGGCCATATGAAACCATATTTCTGTAACCTTGTGTTGCTAATCGACCGTTAGGTGTGACAGTTTGTATTTCGAATTCGAATACTTCGGTTCAATTATCGCAGTTAATGTGATCTCTGTGAAAAAGTGAATATATTTAAGTGTCTCTTAATTCTCTAAAAATGCCAAAAGTTAGAAAAAGTAGAAAAGCATTAATGCTATGTTGGATGACGACTACAATTTTGTTATTAATGACAACGACAATAATGATAACGATGAGCAGAAGCATTTATTGCAAAATTTGCAATAAGAATGTGAAGTGAGAAAGGAAATCGCATTTAGACCAACACATAAATACCGGCACTAACACCATTAATTTTAGAAAAAATGCTCGTAATTTGTTGTCACGCGAATTATAATATACCAGAATAATTGTGAAAAGTGTTTTATATACACAGCGAATATTCTGTAACATTCTAATATATTATTTATTATACCACGTTTTGTTCAAATTATTTGTGCATATTTTGGATATTTTTCATGCATATTTTGCATATGCATGTTACATATTTATCGTGAATAAACTTCCGCAGTCTACTCATCATTTCATCCTACCTCCGATTCACTTGTAAAACTAAACAGCTTTTCTTTTCGTAGTGTTCAAACTTAATGCTGATCGAAAGCATAACAGGAGAACCATTCAGCTTCCATGTTATTCCCTTCGACAATCCTCGACTGCAATACACCTTACAGGTAAACTACACGCAATCGTCCTCTTTGTTTATTTGCGCTGCTATATTTAACCGTTTCTAATATTTATTCGAATTAGGCGCGAAACTTAGAACAGAAGAGAGAATGGACTTTCCAGATAAAAAGGGTGATTCTCGAAAACTACAACGCCGTCATACCTTTCCACGCTAGACAGTTGGTCTTGCAATTAGGCCAGACGCAACCCGAGGGTAAATTATTCAAACTACAGTCATATTATTTAATAAACATTCGTTATGTAGCAGTCGTGAAACATTTGCAGATGACGCACTGGCAGACAGAGGATCGGGGAAGAGGCAGTACGCTGCACCTCCGGAGTATTTAGAGAAGCGTAAACAAGAGAAAGAAAGACGAAGGTCTGAAACTGGACTTAGGCAGAAGTTGAAGAAAAGTGGCAGAAAGTCTGAGACTACAACTGAGGTAGAATATGAGACTCTATAAATGTTACGTTCCATTTGTTCGTTTTCTTCATTCGATTTGTGCTGTTTCAGGATTCTCCAGCATCGCCAAGAAAAAACCAGAACGAGGATTCGAGCATAAACGATTCCAGAGAACAGGGTCTTAGAGCTTCAGATGGACGGGGATCGAAAGTCAAGGTACGTCGATATAAATGACAGTGCAGTATCATCTATTACGTAATGGCCAACGAACCTGTTAAGCTTCTAACTGCACCTTACACGACCAACCTCTAAGTCATATTTCATGTTCGTTTTTTTTTCATTCAGGATCGCTTCACCGGTTGGAGAAGGAAGTCAGAGCCAGGTTTCCAGTCATACGTCTGTCTTAATCACTCCGACGAGGAGCAAAAGGAAGACATAGGTGACACGGGATCAGCCACAGTCGAAACAGAGTGCGCTATAATCGAGAACGAAAAGCAGCGAACGAACAGCATACCGAACGTCAGACAGCAGCAACGTTTTACCAAGCACCGATCCGCCGATACGTCCGACGAAAGTGACTCTGAGAACGCCAACTACAACACCGACACCTCCAAGAACAACAGGATGGCGCGTCTTCGCGCTGCCCAACACGACAAACGCGTGAGAGCGAACAACACCTTGAACTCGTTGTCCTCTTCGCGGGACCATCAGCCGAAGCTGCAGCCATTTTACGATAACCTCACGAAACACGAGAACAACAAATCAGCTGAAAGTAGCTCAAAGAATAAAATTAACCACATTCAGGAAAAGAAAGCCTTGTTCGAAGGCGTGAAAAGGCCGAGTATCTTCACGGAAAGCAAGATCATCAAGACCGCCCTGAGGATAAGAGAGAATTCGACCTCCAGAAGCGAGGAAGTAGCTGAGACGTCAGTCTTAAAGGAAACCGAGGTCCCAAACGCAAAGAACGATAAGAGGACAGATCTAGAGCAATCCGATTCAGGACAGAGAACGAATGACCAGGAGGTCACGGAACCTAGCAAAGGCTTCGGTAACTATGATAATTTGCAACACGTTTGGGTGGGCCTGCAAGAAAAGGAAGACTTGGGGAACGACAGTCCGACTCTTCCAGTGGTGTGGCTGACGAAACGCTGCGAGGGACTGCCCACGTCCCCCCAAAAGTGTGGCTCCCTTCCGCGCAGTTTTCAGATCAATCCTAACTGTACTCAAAACGTGACCAAATCACGATTCTTGCAGAGGGACGGAAAACCGATGAGCGAAAGGCCTTTCACGATAGCCTCAGACAAGCCAGCGGAGATAAATCTGGAGGACATGGAGCGATACGCGTCGTCGTGCCAGCCGCAAGGAAGAATTGCTATGTTCCCGACTACCGTTTCGGGGTCCTCAACTTTCTTCTGTTCCCTGGATGACACGCTGACGGACGCCTACTCTGAGCTCCACGTGTCCTCCACGACCGCGAACATACACCCTGATCACAAGATTTACAGGGCGAACGCGACTGGTAGCGCCACCTTATTCAAGAACGTCCTCTCGAGGGCTGGTAACCGTCTGCAGGGTCTGAGGAACACGATGAGCACGGAGACTCTGGAGTGCAGCGAGGAGATAGAACGTACCAAATATTTTCGTTCCCTGAGCACAGGTAAGTTAAAGAAGAAGGGCAAATTGAAGCACTCCAGGGAGTCCTCGTCGGACGTTGAAGAGCTGATCGGCTGCACCGCCAGGGTCTCAGACCCGAGAGTCCCTTCGCTTTACTACAAGCAAGGGAGCTCGGGTTTGGGTGCTCGTATCGCTCAGTCGGACTACGCTGACCCTACTATACTGTTCTCCGAGTCGAAACGAGCAGGTCAGCCGGCGAGCAACGTCGCTAAAGCGACACCAGAGAAGGAGAACGAGGAAAGCCTGGAGAACAGAGAGAGCGAAACGGATAGCTTCTACGAGAAGTCGTTTGAGACGATCGAGAACTACGTGGACGCAGACGTTGATGATATGTTTAGGGACAGTGCAATATTCAGCGACATAGAGGACGTTCTAGTGATCAGACCATTTTCGAATCAGAGCGCCGAGGAGGCCCTTGTGTCGAGGCCACTTTCGAATCACGACACGGAGGAGTCTTTCAAGAGCAAAGTTGCTCCACCGGTTCCCGCGAAGAAAAGAGCAGAGTCGATGGGTTTGGTGAATTCTGTGACGACGAAATACAGGCCTAGCGTTGCTCAGAAGCCTGACTACTTAAAGGCTAAGTCTTTGTTTTTGAAGGGACAGCAGGAGTTGGACTGTAAGGTTTCGAGAAAGTCACCTGTGGCTGAGTGGGAGGCGTATCGATATCCTAAGGTTAGTTTGCTGAGTAACGGGGTGGGGAAGGGCGGTGAGGATAGGGACGACGTGTCCGCGGGACAGAGCCAAGCTGGCTGGGTGATGAAGATCGTTGGACAGCTCCAGGGCCACGTTGAAACGTAATTTATACCAATGAAAGTGTACAAATTCTGTGAGATTGAACCAAGAATGTACGAATTTCACGTTTGTTGATGTTCTTGAGGGCTTTTCTTCCCAAAGGTATGGGTTCTGAAAGAATTTAAAGGGTCTAAATCAACGTCCGGATCAATAGTACTCGGTAGAGGTGTGCGATTTGGAGCCAATGATTGTCTTTCAGTGATCGGCAAAGTACAACGTTTGAGATTATATTTTATTAGTACAACGGAAGGCGGCAATAGTGATAGAAGATAACGGAAACAAAGAAGGATACGCAGAGAGTAACATTGATCTAGTTGAAATTCAAATACTGTAATTGAAAGCATAATATGTACATAACGAACTTCTCCGTGTGGAAGCACGTAATACTATGCATTTAATATGTGCCGTTCACTTTAATGATAGTCTTTAAACAAGATTAATATCGAACGTTTCGACAGAAAAGTATTAAACTCTTGTTATGTACACATTGCGTTTCCCTTTATACTATTTGTGCCTTACACGAACTATTTTCCAGGCAAATATGAAGTTCTGGTGTGAAGTACACGTAGGATGTACAACATTGAAACAAATACTGCCGTATAATTTGTCATATCATGTAAATTAGTGGTAAATAGAAAAAATGCTGTAAGTGATAATTTCATCTAACCGTATGCCGTATTTAATCCGTGTTATACATCGATTTTATGGCCATAATACAGGGTAATCGAATTTTTATTAATCGAAAGACGACTACGAAGGACTATTATAAAGTCATGTCGACAAAACATTATCGACGACCCTGTATTGTTCAAAAATTCTACGAAGAGAATATTTCTTGTTTTTAACTTTAACATCGTCGATGAAACCGTTGTAAATCAATATGCATATCGACTGAATATTGTAAGTGTTCGATAAACATACAGTAACTCGTTAGGATTCAAATTCTTTTATTCCCGAATAAGAAACGAAGTTCATTCAAATAGGAGAGCAAATTTTTATTTTTTATTTATATTTGTTGAACCTAACGGGTTAGCTATTGTCTGACGCAAAAAGAACACTCATGGTATATTAAAACAGTATGTAGATAACAATGGATTAACGATACGAATGAGTGTGAGATTTACTTGCAATTACACTATGCAGAGAAGTTAGTATTTTTGCAATAAATCAATCTAGTTATTGTCAGTACTTCTCCTATGTTTGTAATTTTCAGAATTCCTGCTCTGTGAAAAAGTGATAAGAAGATTCCTTACACGATTTAGTGTTTCATATACAAAGAGCAATTTATAATCGTAATTCATAATTACATTTTGAAATTGTGATGGTTACGAGTTATTAGGTTACAGTGGTACTTGTGTTACGTAGCGAAGACACCGTCGTGGAAGAGGATTCGAGAGACAGTTGCAAATGTTACTTCAGGTAGGTTTATTACGAGAGTGTCTATTTACAGAGGTTTGGCTAGTCGTGCTTACAGATAACACGTAAATGATACATAATGTTCATAAATTAGCTTCGCAATACTGTATTTATATAAAAAGAAAAAAATAATTGACTAAAAAGGGGGGGGGGGAGGACGAGAAGCTCGGTGAACTGAAGAACGATCATCCGTTATACACATTATATACAGCCGTTAGCAACTATGATACACTTAACCGCATTATTATTTTGGATTAGAGTCTATCTTCTATACAGAAGGATCTTCGTTAGTTTCGGTTACGGAATATAAATATAAAGAATAAATTAAGATTCGTCTCGTTTACAGAGTCCCTACGCTCTCTGAGGTGTTGTACGCTGGGGTGATCCTCCTTACGTTTGGTTCGAGTAACGAGGAAGCGTCGCAGAACGCAGAAGAAAAGACCCTTTCGATACGAAGACGCTGGTCCATTGTTTAACAAAAGGCCAATTAACGTTATATTTTTCAGCGAAATAACAACTTCGTACGAGTTGTCTTCCGTTGCACGCAGAGAGTAAATATTTTGTTTGTTATAGATCAATCTCTCCGCAAGCTTTGCTAAAAGCCTTTTCAGTCATCAATTTTAACTACAACGCTAGCACACATCTAATCTTTTCTATATAGGTTGTGACAAATCAGACAAATTTGTCGCATCGAAAGGGTAAAATCAGTGCTTTCCAACCAAGAATAAAGATATAAGAGCAACTGGAATGTCAATAATTCTGAATATCTAAATCTTGCAGGACATCCTGGAGTTATTTAACGCGACGTGGTTTCCTTGAAATTAAACAAACTTAGGGTATAAACTGTAAATTTGATATTTGTTGATCTTTAGAACAATCTTTTAGAATATAAAATTCACAGTCTGACCCATACGAAGCAACTTAAAGGATAGAAAAGTTGGAAAATACTGATACCAAGAGATTAACTGAAACGCGTTAATTAATTTTTCTATACAGGAGTACCTTAAACCTAGAATTTATTTATGCGACAACGACGCGCTCTTATATGATTCCATCTTGTAAGAATAATTTCATTAATCGTCGCTTCTATTCGCAGCTAAAGCTTTGGTTAATAACGTGCTATTGACATATTGACAATTTCTTATAGTTCTCCCTTGAAACGGCACAAAACTAACGAAATCTCGGTATCGTTATCTCGCGCTAATTTATACTTCTTTGAACTTATATTTCTTCGTTAAAGAATTTTATTAAATATATTTAGATTTATATATATATCTTTTTTCCGTTGCGTATCTCTGTTTGTCTCGTTCTCTCTAAGTCAACTCGTCATTCTTACAATACGTACTTGCCTCTTAAAATATTTTTTTTCTGTTATACATTTGCACTTCCATGGAAAACATAATACATAGCTGATATAAACATAGAATCGTTACTAATCAGAGTAGAAGATAAACAACTTCTATTCGCTAGGTATCTGTTGCTTGAATAAAATTCTAGCCATTTCTGATCTGGACCCTGAAAGCGATACCAAACTATACCATTGGTGATAAATACAGTAATAATAGAGTCATCAATCATTTCTGAAAACAAAGTTAAATCTCTTCCAAGAGAGAAAATTGAGTAGACAAAATATTGGTCTCTTAAGTAGTTTCCAAACGTCAACGGTAAAGCCTGTAAGATTTATTTTCGTTATTTATCGCTCTCAGGGTTAAATAAATATATGAAACACTATCGAAATGAAATGATACAGAATATAAAACTAAGAGTGTCACAGAATACTATTTTTAAACCCATTGTGGACAGAAACTTGCTCGTTATTGCGTTTCCCTGAAACTCACGTTGCAAGTGTACGCATTCCGCATAGGTGGAACACAATAACAAACACCCGTGACTGTAACAAGTTCAGAAATACGAGCCTGTAACTCCAAGATAGTTTTCTACCCTCCGTTTGTATGTAGAGGCAAAGACACTGATCTGGTCAATATGGACAGGTACATGTTATCGCTGTACTAGTTGTCCTACCGCTAGAGAAATCTACGCTGTGTGTGAAATCGGTTAAAAACATATCAACCCTCCGATGACTCTATAAAATGACCCTTTACAAAGTCATCGAATTGACTTTCACGCGTGGCACTCGATTCACACACAGTATATTAATATGCACATTGAGATCTGATAAAAACTAAATATTTCAGCTATGCACTATATCCAACAAAACTCTATTGAGGGTTGTATTTAGAATTTTATGGTCATAAGTAGAACACGGATATGTAAAATTTGCATGTAACATGTTTCTGTGTTTCTGCGTTTTCCTCCTTATATCAGAGACGGGCAAAACAAAAGATACGTCACTTTCTATCTACTATTTATCGAATAGAAATTATAATTTAAATCACAGAGTGAAGAAATTATTGTTCAGGTTGAATGAATCAGAACTAATCTCTATGACTTCTTATTCGTCGTCTATTGAATAAAATTTTGCCCGTCTCTGTTCTAAACTTTATGTTTCCTAATAGTTGGTCTCCCAAAGATTATGTATATTTACACACTCTTCACCCTTTTCCTAAGACTCTCGAGTCGCTTTCTTGCTGTCGGTGTAAATGTCTTTTCCTTTCGCGTTTAGCCAATACTCGACGCTATAAATGAAATTATTGTCTTTGCAATAATACAAAAATTTGCCAGGTAACATTACAGTGTAACTATTTACGCCGTTATTGGAGTAGGTTATCGACACTGGTACACGGATGCTTTACAGAATACCATTATAACCGATCAAACGTTTGATACATTTAAACAAATCAGAAGGATATATGTGTATCAAAGATAAAAAGAAAATTAGTAATATATCCGGAAAGTACGTAACTCCTCTAAAGTACAAGAATATTGAACATGTTAACTAGCATGTTTTCAAGTAGCGTTTTAGAACTAGAAAACAAGTGAAAGAATTGTTACTCGTGTCTAAATTGTGCGTAGAGTCGACTGACTTGTAAAATAACATTTATATCCAGGTGCAATTTATTGCAAGATATTCCCTGGCTATATTACCAATACGACTATATCTTTCCATATACACATACATATATATTCACTTTGAATGCTTGAAAAGCATATTATCATAGACTTTCCGCATCTCTCATTGGTTCTAGTAATCTATATCACACCATTCCACACTTTCTTGAAAATCATTCTTAACGTTTACAAAGCGCAAGCTTCTCGATCAGAAATTTAGAGATATACCGATAATTCATTCCTAATAATTGTTGCTCGAACACAGGAAATCAAATACATTCTATGATTTGTGAGCATTTGATTGTTAAATTAAACATGCGCTAGAAACGGTTTGCTAAGGAAAAACAACCTAGTACATATACTGAACTGTATATAACAAAAGTTAGGAACAAACACGACTAATTGCGAACATCAGCAATTCAAACTAAGTAATGAGAGAAATTCAATTGATAATTGTTTCAAAACAAACAAAAATTGTTCGTATGTATATATGCTTAGTTGCAAATACAGGGAAGACATTGCTTTATACACTTTTCCTTTACAAGGCCTACCAATCTGTATGAACAACGCTCTAGTAGACTTTTTCTTTAACCAAGTTGTACAATTTGATTAAACATTTCGTTCGGTAATTTGATTGCTTAATCACTGATTGTAATTGCATACTGAATTGTTGACACAAACGCATGGTAAACATACCGCAACATGGACCTGCTTAATCGTATTCCCTGAAACATCTCTCTTGTCTTCAATGCCACGTTAAATGTATAAGTATATTCGATATACATACATATATATATTTGAATATAGTTGCAACCATAAAGTTTGATATAAATAATTAGGCATATTTAAAATTTGAACTTATTTAAATCTCAATTAAATTATACTTGAGCTACTTTGAAACCATTGCAATGAATGAATAAATTGTGTTATATAAAATTTATAACATCAGGAATGAAATATTCGAACAGAGTGTGTAAAACGTGTCTAAAAAACGATGTAAAAGACAAGAGTGACATTTAAAATGGTAAAGTGAACTATCTTGGACATATCTTGAACACACAATCGTTTCAATTGTTTCCATTTTATACAAAAATTGTCAGCACGGAATATTATTTCGTTAAACGCAATTTTGCTGCATTTTGTAATAACAAATCTCGCGTTACGTATTAAATTATGCCACAGCATAAGTGGTGTAAGAACGTGCCATAAAAATGAATATACCTGGAAATAAATTTATAACCATCGTCTTCGATGGAAACAAGTATAAGTAATATTTTTTTTTTTTTAATTTTAATTCAAAGATATAATATAAAATATATGTTTGAATATTTGAAATATTTTGGAATGTAGGAAAATCGTAACAATAAAAATGAAATCGAAAATGTTAAACATTTATGTTACACCACTTATGTCTCGAGGTTGGATACAATAATAAATGTAACATAATTATTTACCACAATAAGCAGTTAGATATGATACTATTATAGTAAACCTTTAATAGCATAATACTTTCTTTTGTAACCTACTTCCTATATACAGAGCAAATCTTCATATAAAATACCAAAATATCTCAACATTTCCAAGATAATTTTACTCTGTCGATCCTTCCTAGTTCAATTTACATTTCGTTCTTGTTGTTGCAAATCGATTACTTTAGTGTGCAAGATGCCAACAATCGATAATGGATGGAAAAGTGCTAGATACAATACTCGTTTAAACCTACTAATTCGCATCTAAAGGACACCAATAAGTTCGAATGCAATTCGTTAAATATTATTTGTAAAAAAAAAATAATTGGCTATAATAATGATTAGCTGTATAACGCGACAAATTGTTAATAGATTTTATCGAAAATTTCTTAGTAATTATTCATAAATTGCCTAATATTTAATTCTCAAAAGGCCTGATCACGAGTACGAAACCAATCTACACTTATTAGTATTTTTGGCCGAATTACATGGAATTTAAATGATCTTATTATTCGACGCTAATAGTAAAATTACCATTATTCTAACAAAATTTAAGCTATACAGAAAAGCACTTGTTTCTTTAATTTTATTTAATTAACTACTTAAAATTTCAAAATCGAACATCTTCCTTTCGATATAAGTTAAATCGTGATTCTAGATTAATCCAATTAGTTGAATATTACGTAAAACTATTATTCTAAACGTTATTAACATCCCATTGTTTTTTTATTTTAATTTTAGTTGTCTTTAAATTGTTCATCGGTGAATATATAATACAAAAATTCATAAATCTCTAGAAACCTAAATTTCGAAACTGTTCTTTAAATTTTAATATAACATCGACTAACGTAATTACAGACTAAAATAAATATTTAAGCGCGGACGTGTCTTTTATTTTATGCTACTTGCTGCATGCAAAACGTACATACTTTTCTACTCGTATTGTTAAAGTTTTATTGAAACTGGTCACTTTGACATTTATTTTAAGCTACGATACCGTAACAGAAACACATTAAAAATGAGTATTATTAAATTACATAAAGGATATAAACAATTTCTATATAAATAAAAAATCTATATACAGAAGCGCGTTCTCTTAAAATATGGATAAATAATTAGAAACAAAAGAATGATTATTTTCGTGTGATATTTATAGTAGTTTTATATCGATGAAGTTCAATATTACCTTTAATTAAAAACGTTGCTTAGACGTTAAACAGAAACATTTACTATATTACATACTGCACGTAATACAGAACATAGCAGAATAATTGTTTCTATATTAATTACGTAAAGAAATTACGGAAATATATATCACATAAACTTCAATCGAATCATTGATAAATCACCAACATTATCAATTACAAAATACCGCGTCACCCCATCTCGAGTAAAATTAAAAAATTCAACTATTTAAAACGAGTTAATTACGAAGCGAACCATAAAGTAGAAATAGTCGATGCAACTTGCACATCAATGTTCTTAAATTCTATTCATCCAGCACTCTTCCTCCTAAATACATCGTTTGTGTATAATTAAGAAAGTCTTTCGCAAACGAGAAATTGTATTTCTCCCAGTCTTAAGAACCAATCACACAAAATACACTTAATTTCATTAGTATTTCACAGAAGCAAGTTATTTCCACCGATATCACGGAAATGAACTCTTTTCCAAACGAATACTGTGCTCGTATAATACGAAAGAATATTAAGTTATTCTTAGTGTGTAATCATTGAAGGCAATTTTTTTTTTTTCAAAGAAAAACAAAGCCAAACGAACAAGAGAAATAATGTTTAGATTCTGATTGCTGTCAGGTCCGATCATCAATATAATTTGTTAATTAATTACATAACCTGCAACACTATTGTGTGAGATAGAATACACAGAATGACGCAATTGCGTCAAAAAATTTCATATGTACTGGGTAAAACGATCTGGATCTGTTCGAATGAATTAACTGCTAAGCCTTTCCGTATATACCTCTTAAAATAAATAATTTATGATTGCCATCATAAACTACTTTGCAATTTATATTGTATCTTCATAGTACAATCGTCCAAAATTAGAGACACTGATGAACGCAATGTCTTATTAAAATAACTTTGATGCAACAGCCCAATGCCTACCAAAGCAAAACTTATACAAAAGAATGGAAATGTACGTTTGTCAAATTTAGTTTCTATTCGTCGCGAGAAAAATACATACGATAAGCGTTAGAATTTTTTATACTCGGTAACTAATTTGTATTTAAATCGTTGTCTTTGTTGTTGTTCAATGGTCAATTATATATTAATCTACTTAAACTACCTTTGGCCAATATCTTATAAGAGTCGTACAAAGTTTCTATGTGAAGCTTACGACGATACAATTAATTCATATCTAGGGTGTTGGGATTTCTCGTATCGTGATACAATCTAAAAATCATTCTAAAAATATAAGTATTCGTATATCTACACATAATTATCGTACAATACGCGTGGTTCTCGAGTATCGTAACTCGCCAATGTAATTAGATTAATTGAAAAGGGGAAAGAAGTTTTCAAATCAAAACTCACGTCTAGAATTTACTATATTGTTGTATCGTAACGAATGTCTCTTTGAAATATTTGATATACGCTAACTTAGGTTTCCGGGTAATTTTGCGATAGCGCTGTACGTTTCTGTTTCTTTCGTTGAGGAAATTCGATCGGTATAAGCTTTATTTTGTCAGGCATAAGGGCAAATTTACATATTACTTTAAATATATTCGCGATTCCTCTCAATATTCCATCCCACTGTGATCTCTTTCTTTCTCTCCTTTAATATCGATCACACTAATTCTAAATCTGTTTTCGTTAAAAAGTTCTCGGTAAATAACCAGTCTATGTAGCATTGACTATATGGAGAACAGTGACGAATGATGTGTATGCTGATGTACGTCGGTAATCAATTTCTTCATTCATGTGCACTTTAAACAGGATAATTAACAATTTTCTCTTACCAACGTCAACCACTGCCTCTCAGTACAGTCACGTTATACTTTACAATGCAGTCTGTCCAAATCACAATTCACTTGCGACGCGTTCCGTCTGCGCATTCACAGTTGGAAGATGAAACTTAGTAACTGGCCTCGTGTCCAGCAAGTATGTACAAGTCTGCTCCCTCGGATTCAGTTAGCGTGCCCGACTGAACCAAATGGCTCTCTAGCATTACAACTCTGCAAAAAGCACGAATTTCCATTTTACTTAACCTCAAAATGCGGAACTACGCTTAACCCTTTGCACTCGAGGCCTTTTTTTCTGGTATCTGCGAGCAACTCGAGATGTTTCTTAGCATTCTATTACCATGAATTCTAAGCTATCTATATTTGAAAATAAGGTCACATTTCCCTCACCGACAATCATTTTATCGACACTTCGAACTCCAAAGAAATTAAACTTAAAGAAACATTAGGTATTGTAGATTTGCTGCGTGAAACCTAATGGTGATTGAGAATCACCTCTCGAGTGCAAAGGATTAATCTACTTAGAAAACAGTATACACGTACTTGTCTGATCCAAGTAATCTGTACGTTCTGCTCGGATCGCTGATTTCTTGTGTAACTTCGCCATTCTTAAAACTCCTACCTTGCATCCCATGCTTATGGAATGCCAATACGCTGTCCGGTAAGCAAACTAAAGGCAAAACAAATAAATGGTAAACAACCCATTGAATCGATTTCTGACGTAGTACTAACAAATGATCTACTTCGAATGAACTTACTGATCGATTCGATTTGAAAGTTAAAATGTAATTCCGACATATGTTTCCTACTCGACCTAGGTTTTCCTTGCAGCGTCACCACTCTCACTACATCTGTGACAGACAAAATACAAATAAATCATAGATTCGAACGGTATTTACTTCTATGATGTACTTACTGTCGTAACATACTAATATTGAATTCTTGTCTAACTGCGTAACATTGATAGCGTTAAGGTTCTCCCTTCTTGGTATCACAGTGGCTAAAATAATATTTTCAGTTATTATAGTGAAATAATATTTTTCAGATATTATACGAAGACTACTAGTTACGATCTACCAAGGAAATAAACTGCTAGTTTCTCGTAAAAAAATCATAATATATGAAAATATATATAACGGTACCCGAACCATCCATGTCTTCCAATTCATCGCTGTGAAACCAACTTGCTCCCGAGTTCATATTAATTAAATCCAACTTCAATTTATTTTGCTGATATGGTTGTTTTACAGACACACACACCATTGGATATTCCATTTCGGGTGTGATGATAATTTCGAATACGTTCAACGGCGCCGGTAAGATGCATTCGAAGTGCTTTAGCAGCATGAACTTGTTGAGGGGGTCATACCATTGCATTAAAAATATTCCAGTTGGCATCGCACCGCAGAGGTATTTGTAACTGTATCGAATAACTTGTTATCAACATGTGTCTCACATAAAAGATGCGTTTATAGACGGTTAGGAATTTCAATATTCGCTCACCCGTTGTAAGGATTTCTCCCAACGCAACATTTGGTGCAACCCTTCGTGTCTGGTACTTTAGTGGTCAGAGCAAACTTTCTAGGTACTAATCTCTCTGGTATTTTGTTCATGTGCAGTGAAAACCTGTGGCTCTGTTTACTTTGCATCGCTAATAAGTCGTGTCTATATAGTTGAGGTGTTTTCCCTGGAAATTGGCTCGCGTATTTATATCTATTATACATCTTTGTATACTAATCAGTTAGTAATATTTTACCAGAAAGGGACATGAGGACATCCTTAATGACGTACATCCAAATGGTACGTCTCGGATACAATTGATCTATCGCAGTCTCGTGGAGTTCGTTTAGGTTCAAGTTGTAAATTCCTTCCTCGGCTGCGATCAATAAATGTTGATCTCGCGTGTCTGGATGAATCCAACTTGCGGTACAGTGTATTCTCAGTGGACAACCATTGAATACCTAAGCACAAATATCCAAACCGTTGTTGATCAAAAACGATTCCACAGATGTCGAATGTGCTGAGTTAATTTCGTTTGGAAACATTTCTCTGAGATAGCAAGCCTGAGAGAAAAGGCTAAATCTAACTAACTAAATTTACTAACTTTTGAGAAACACGCTCCCATGTGGACTTTGGGGGTAGGCGGTAGTCCGTTGCTGATAGGTCTGGGAGGTGTATGACGTTTCCTGTCCCTTCTTCTTGGAGGAACAGGTGGAGTATCGGACAATAAGTCTGGACTCATACTTTCTCCGTCTCCGTCGCCTGACACCTCATTTTGACCTAAAAAGATGTTTGTTTACTAACGAAAGACTGAACGGTGATAAAATCGTTTATACGCAATCAACACAAGGAATCCTTAACGCGTCGATTCGTAGCATTTTCACATTTCTGGATTAGCGATACCTGTTTAAGTCTGTGAATACTAAATTTACATGAGACGAGAGTGCAAGAGTGTTGCTTATAGAAGTGATATTTTATTGTATGCTTTGTGTTAGCGCTATCGAGTTGCAAATTTGTTCTGAAAGGTAGTGACGATTGGGTAGTTGCACACTTGGGTAAAATTAAGGAACAAATCATGCTTCCTTTTGGGTCTATAGAAACAATCGTCGAGAATTTCTCAAATAATATAGTATGACACGAGTTGAACTGCAAGATTAGCGTGCTCCTACCATTGGATTGTAGGGATTCATCTCTAGGACCACTGTCTGAGAGAGATCGTTGGCGTTGTCCATTGACAGCGGTTAAGGACTGGGTACTGCTCACCAGACCATACAACTCGTCCACAGAGCTGTGGCGCCTGGGACTTGCTTGAGATCCTATGCACCGAATCTACTTTTTATACTACAACCACGATACATTCAAACATTTCAGAACCTCCACATCATTTACTTTGTTCGATTGGACACTATTATAATATTCTTGTACATTTCGATAGATTACACAAGGTATTATACAAGGTATTTTTAATCTCGTAATTTGATATGGAAGTTTTAAAGAAAATGTGATATGTGAACGTATTCTAGAGTGATAAATATGTAAGTGTTGCCATAAAGATAGATGACTTCTTACCTGACATGTTATAATAAGGGCAGTGCACTTCGCAGTCGTTCGACGATTCTCCAAGAGGAAGCGTAGCTCTGTAAGAAAAATGTATAAGCTTTAGTATATAATATACAACCGGGTGAGAAGTTATTAGAAGAATTTGTTGCCAAAACGTATGTGCTACTAGGATTAGTAAATTATTGGTAATACATCGATAATAAAATAAAGAGTACGTATGAATGGCAATGGTTAGCTAATGGAGATAAAGCTTGAGTGTATTATTCCACGTGAAACCTTCGATTTCATTGCATTGATTATTAGAAAAACAAAATGTGATGTGGTACATTAGAAGAAACCAAACACTGATCTAAATGAATGTGCGTAAACTCGTTATAATTGTATTGTTAAAAGAAACATATGTTATAATTGGGAATGTCACTATAACGTGGATTCGTGAAATTTAGAGTAGTATTTATTAAGCATTTGAAGGAATATAAAACGTATGGTGTCTTGTATTGCATTGGAAAAATGACACTTTTTAAGCGGGGAAAATTAACAAGTAAAATATACTATATTATTCAAATGTACAGGATATTTACTAATAAGCACATTTGATGGGAAAATTTCAAACTTCGAAGTAAAACTACGTTGAAAAATAATTCTCTACATATGTATAAATAAAATTACCCTTCCTGGGTCAAAAGATATTTACATGCAAGTGAAACTACGTATGTAACGTTGGAAATTGACAAGAATTTAAAGAACGCAAAATATCGTTTGTGTTAATACGTTTTCACATATCGCTTATCTGGCTAGCAATATGTTACAGAAAGCTATTAGAGTTCCTCGGTGGATTGTTTGAAGCCAGACTCGGATATACATTATCGAAAAATTATAATAAAAGCCCAATGTTACTTTAAAACGAAAGTAACGAAAATAACTGAATTGTATCTACAACCAAAGGTAAAACAATCTACTATTACATTTTGGCATTTACTTACTGCAGGGAATATAGCTGGTCGCAATGCCCACCAACCATCGACATTGCATTCCCCCTGCACATATGAAACTATAATCATATCTATACAACAATTACACATCTTCTTTTTCTTATTACGTCTGACGAATGACGATTTCTTATTACGTCAGCTGATTTCATTTACACGTAAATTCCTGTACACTTTCGATGTACAAAATGATCCGTCGATATCTCATTAATGCACGAGCAATTACCCATTTTTGAATTACCCATTTTTCCAGTGAAAAATAAATGTTACAATTAATTTAATCAATACGTTACCACAAGATGGTAGTTACATTTATTAACAAGTATCGTTACTGTTATTATTTAACCAGTTATTATTATTATTATTTCACTTGCATTTATTATGCTCGATATCGCACCGCTAATCGAAACAGTAATTGCGATCGCAGTATAAATATATTCAAAATCGTAATCTCTGTAATAGGTACACGAATTCCCACCACCAATATGGTCAGCAGGGTTTAGAAACGATTTCTCTAACAGAAAACTCGCATGCAATGAACTACATTAAGAGCACCTATTAAACAGCATACTTTGAAAATATTAATTTTTACATAAACGCCGTTCGCATATATGCTTCTAATATTAATATTTATTATAAACATTTTCGGGGCGTAAATAATAATTAAAAGGAAGGATTAAAGAAACACACGATGCGAAGTAATCGAATCGATGCAGTTGTTTTTACTACAATGCCAAAACAAGTTGTTAAAGGAAGTTTTGGGGGATCGTTCGATGAGTTAATGTAAAGCAACGGTAGAAACGAGAAGAGTAAGTAATTTAATGCACGGCGTTAGGAAATATAAGTGCAAGGTGCAAGGTGCAAGGGAAAAGGGTTACCTGCCAATACCTTAGCAACAACTCCTCATCAATGTACTGCAATAGACTCCTGTTGGGAGAAATTATTAAAATTACAAAACTGATCAGAGAAATTAAGGCTACAAAGAATTATAATAGAAATAAGTTGTGTAATTAAATACTGGATAAGTGTTAGATGTAATATAAGGGATTGAGTAACTATTTCAAGATTACGATTTAATAATACCGGTGTAGAATACGTGGACTTTCATTCCCTACGAATGTCATTCAGGTGTAAAACGTGTTCTATCAAATTCACTAAAATATATCCTGAGTTATGTGCCACATCCGGTACGCATAACGCTCCTAAATTAACAACCACTTTTACATTTCAGATGGGCAAATTTCTATTCGGATAATAGATTAGATCATATTATTTTCAACTAAGAGCTTTGATATTTACCGGATATGTAACATTTTAGCGAACGCTAAAAAACAAATTGATCGATTCAAAAAGATCTTTATACGAGGAATACATTGAGCATATCAAACGTAATAAATAATATACTTACGGAGCAGGTGCAGTAAACAGATCAAGACCTTTTTGAACTTTTATTTTAAGCATGCACATTCATAGTAAATAACACGAAGCATTATCATGCAAAACATTAAAATACTGTGAAAAATATATATAGTACACTTTAACACAACATGCTACAACTTTCGGTATATAAATAAATAAATAGAAAAAGAATGTCGATTAGATAATTGTAATCTTCTGTGTAATTATTAATTTAATGCACACGCAGATAAAGTAACACAAATAATGCATGCACAGAGGAAGCAACAACAAAAAAAAATGCAAGATTAGCCTAATTACATATTCACTTGCAAAACGTAATTTGAACAAATGGTGCTTTGTAGTGTTTAGACATATTCTACGGCAACGAGCGAAACACCATGCATACGTATCTACTCGGGAAACTACACCACATATCGACTCAAAGAAAGTGTATTCTGAATCAGTTAGAAACCAGCTTATTCTGTCTTCATGATCTCACAGACAGTAAATTTAAAAACCACGTAACATCTTCACACCAAACTACCTGCATCGTACGCATTACCTTAAGCTCATATGAAATATTTCTGTGCCTGTTTTGCTTCGACGTGACAGTCTACTATCTGTTGTAACGTTCGCGCCAACAGTACTGATACAAAAATAAACAATATCATGTCCAGGAAAAATAGAATTCAGGACAAAGTAAAAACAATTTCGATAGAATCTCGCAGAGTTCGCGAATTAATGCAGTTTAATTCTTTTTACGAAAAAGAACCGCGCGTTCGTAGGGAGAAACGTATCTTCGTATTAATAACTGATGCAACGTATGCGAAGCGGAAGCAGACGTGCCGTATGCAACTTAACAATGCTTAGCGTAAAACTGCTTTTTCGCTATACACGTCTATCTTATACAATCTTTTTACAGAGGTAAATTCTTTTTACAATTTTTAGCGAAATAGCAGTTACCATATTAGTGGAAGGACCTTGAAGCGTCAACCCTACCCACGTTATTAGATTATAGGACTACGTAAAGAAATGTATTCCTTCGTACTTACTTTTCTTGCACGTCTTCGAATGCAGTGCCGATGCCACAGTCTGGATGTACATCACAGTTATGAACAGCCTGAACATATACGCACGGATATGAACATTAAAATTTAAACGTTACGATATATTCTTTTTCTTTTGTCACTCGAGACACAACGTGTAATTAAATAGACGCGATTTTGTTAGTATTAAATTGAAATGTTTATTTCGTTACTTCACTAATACTCAAGACTCTACCGGATTAAATAATGCACTATTATCTGTCAATTAGTGCAAGGAATATTTGATAATCGTGGGTTACCTTTACATTATTCATTATATCCATGATATCCCATGATGGACTGGTGTCCACGGATGGCGATATCGAATCTCTTTGTAACGTTCCGTCGAGATTAATTTGATCTGTAATGCATATGCAGTGTATATTTATGTACAAAAACATACACACACACACGCGCGCGCACACACACGCATATATGTACAGGGTGAATGACGAATCGTGGTCAGTGGAGATTACGATTCGTGATTCACCCTGTATATACAGTATACCCACTATATACACCCTGTATATATAGTGGGTGCAGAAAGTATTCGTACACCGATCAATTTCCAATAAAACTATTTAAAATTGTAATTTATTAGCTTATTTTTTACAAACAATGACATTCTACATATTCTCGGAAATGTCTACAATAGATAGATTACAAAAAAAATAGCTATTTATGTAAGTTGCGAAATTAACAAGAAAAAAACAATTAATCGATAGAAATGTTGAAGCAATAAGTATTCGGACAACTGTTTAAAAGTATTTTACTGGAAATTTGATGTTTTCTAATTCGTACGGATCAATAAACTAACGTGTTTACGTGACACACTCTGCTGTAAATGGTTCATCATAAGAATCGTACAAATACTTATTGCTTCTATACTTTTACCCACTTATCCCATTTTATTTTGTTAATTTCACAAATTATATTAACTAGTAAATGTTGTTTGGACTATATCTATTTTAGAGACTTCCGAGAATATGTAAAATATCATTGATTACAAAAAAAGAAGTTAAGAAACTACAATTTCACACAAAAGTTTTTTTGGAAATTGATCGGTGTACGAACACATTCTACACCCACTGTATGTACTTGACACCATCGCGCTAATGGACGAGATATCTCGCGACCTACAATATCCCTTACCATCGCTATCTAATTGTGGTATGGGGCTTTTTGGTCTAGGTCTTGCAGTATGTCGCGACGCAATCCTCTGTGGGACATTAGGTACAGCTCCATCTTCATCAGCTTCTAAATCAGTAAACATATGACTAGGATTCGATACCTTTTGCAACAATTCCAAAGCTAAACGTTTGCTCATTTCGCCTTGAAAAAATGCGTGCTGGAATAATAGTTTTTATTTAAATTTTCGTCTACATGGTAATCCACTAGTATAACGATAATCAGACATAATATTAACCTGCAGTAACTTCTCGGCTGTAGGTCGTTTCTTAGGGTTTTTCGTCAGAGCGACTTTGACGAAATTGTGGAATGTCGGACTCCATTTGTCTCGATCTTTTAACGTTGGTGGTTTGAAACCAGATTTCGACATGAGAAAGAGCGCTCGCATAGGATGTAAATCGAACATAGGTGGTTGGAGTTCTGCTAATTCTATTGCGGTGATCCCACATGCCCAAATATCACAAAGCTGATTATATCCGCCTTTTCTTTCTACAGCTGCAACCTAAGGAGCAAAAAGAACGTAGTTTCCATGGGCGTTTTAGATCGCGACGCATCCGGAAGACTCGTAATACCTCGGGTGCCATCCAGTACGGGGTGCCGATGAAACTTTTCCTTTTATTGATAGTTGCAGTAATTTGCGCAGATACCCCAAAGTCAGCCAATTTGACATCGCCAGATTCGGTTAACAATATATTGGCACCTTTAATATCACGATGCATTTTGCCCATGCTATGCAAGTAAGCCAATCCCAGAAGTGTCTCTCGACACATGTACGCTATTTGTATTTCTGATAATGGTCCAGTTACTATAATATTATTAAAACTCTTATGTGTTATCATAAAGTTCTTAGCGCTGTAATGTATACTTTATGAACATGGTTCCATAAATGTCTTTGCAAAAAAAAAAATGGATTACACGTAATATATCAAACTGGATGTAAAAGAGAGACATACTATGATATATATCTTGTAGAGAACCCCCTCCGCAATATTCCATACAAATCCATAATTTGTCTCTCCTCAAGTAGCTTCCGTAATACGCGATTATGTTAGGGTGTCTGCAATCTTTCATCATCAAAATTTCTTGCTGAATAATTGCAAAATCATCCCCTAAAACATTTCAACGCATTAACACTGGAATTACCAATTGGAAGAGTATGGCAGAGTTAGGTCCAAGCTTTATTTTCATTGTCCTATATATACAGAGTAAGCCGTAAGTTGCAGAAGAGGGTAAAGCAACAGATAGATTTCTTTTTAATTGTTTGTTACAAAATTTGAAGTAAATGGTGCCCTTTTGTCTTTCTACAAAATTTTATATTTTTAGTTCACCAACCGCTACACTTCTGAACATTAGAGATTCAATGTTGCGTAGCGAGATCAACTTAACATGTTACTTCTCAACATTACATCTTTATCTGAAGTACAACTCTCTAGGGAGCTCATAGTGTCAAGTTTCAAGTTACCATCTGATACCACAGTGCCCAAATTGGGGTGGTAATTGCTTAAAATTAATAAATCGTAATAATAAACTAGGACATATTTTGTAGCTACAGGATCCGCAGGGAATGGACTAGGATGTCAAATATATAGAAACCAAAGCATTCTATTTAAAACGTGTATTTGTTAAACAGAGGGAAGATGTGTGAGAAAATGTGGAAGGAAACTTGGTTACAAAGAACAGAAGGAAATTAGAATTAAATTCGTTCGACGAGCGTCGAGAATAATACGCGTATATGGAAGATAGTCGAATGAAATCCTTGGGTGAACGGAAAAAAAGCTGAAACGTACCCTCCAAAAAAGGAGCAAGAAAAAGTTGATTTTTTGTAGAGCTTACCTGGTTCCAACTTGATAACCTTAATAGCGGAGAGGTCATTCATGGAAAGTCTTTTGGCCTGCGAATATAAATACAACACCGCCTGTAGACGACGCGTCTGATTACGAATGTAAGAACCACTAAGGCTACGAACCTTGTAAACATCTCCGTAAGTTCCACTACCTATCCTCTGAATGAGCTCGTACTCGTCCTGTGGATTTCTTCGGCTTATGTCACTGGACAACGCGTTCGCGTTCAAAGCCATCATAAAACGCAGATGCTACCCAGCTAACAGCTAACGAGCGTAATTAATTATCTACAAAAGAAGATTAACGTTAAAGTGTAAAAACACATTTGTTCGTTAGAATGTCACTTTCGTCGAAACGTCGCCATTGTTCACAACAGCTCTGAAGTTAGCCGCGACCGAGCAAGCGGTTCTGCGATACATCGATCCACTCGAATCGATTCGTTGCGCGCGAAAAAATTTAAAAAATTCTGAAAAAATAATCAAAGACATTAGTATACTTCGTTACTATTGCGTATGTACAGTGAGCCGCAACATTATTCGCTCGAAAATATAAGAAAAACGAATGAAATAATGAACCAACAAAGAGAATTTTTTAATTCTTTTATTTGGAAAATTTTAGTTTACAATTAATCAGAAACAATTTTTCACAATTTATAACAATTCTTTGTACGTTTTTTCAATGATATCTTACATATTCTCGGAAGTCTCTAAGATAGATATAATCCAAACAACATTTACTAGTTAATATAATTTGTGGAATTAACAAAAAAATGCGAAAAGTGGATAAAAGTATAGAAGCAATCCGATAAAAAAACTTCAAAAAAGTAAAAAAAATTACGCCAAGTACATAAAAAAGTGAAGGACTCAAGGAGTTATCATTGAAAAATAGAAGATCCCGATAAAAAACTACAAGAAAATAGAAAAAGATGTGAAATCGAAATAAGCTGCCAGATGATTTGCCTAGATTTCCGCGGCCTGGAAATCAAATGCTTGGCCAGACAAGGTCAAGCTGTCGATGAATAAGAATTATTTTAAAACGCAAAATAATGAAAGTGTACTGATATTGTCAAAGTTTTAAACTAACAAATTATCTGAAAGCTTGCGAGAGTACTTTCTACACCCACTTTAAACACGTTCAGTTCCAGCGTCTACTACGCGCGGCGCTAGGATCTGTTTCGAATCCCCGTCGATAACGTCGGATATGACGGTTGATGACGATAAAGTAGTAAACGAGTAAAGAGTCCTATAAACCCCACATATCCCAGACAGAAAAAAGTATCTCGTTTACGGGATTGTGTATGCTCTATTCCCTTCGAGCGGAATGAATTAATGCCTCTCGACTTTTGCTGCACGGATCCGTGCACACGCAAACGTCCATGAGTCCTCGAGAACGGAAAATAGAAGTCGCATAAATTTTCTCACAGAGAGACCATTTCCATCGTGAAACAGTTTCTCAGGAATATGAAATGACCTTGACTAGATGTACTAATGACAGCTATTCGCTTATGGGAAATAATACTACGCAATTCGAACATTCCTTTTACGCGAAACGCGAGAGTACTGGAAAATATATTATTCTTGAATTCATTTATTCAAAGGAGTATTCCTACTTCGAATTTTTTACTTTTAATATTTTCTCGATGTACAAAAGTTCAAAAATATTCTCTAAAAATTTCAAGATAAGCAGGTAGAGTATTACCTTGGGGCAAGGATTAATTTTTCGGACTCAATTTTGCTTCAGGAACGGCGTTTTCTAAATTTCTCTAAACATCGACTGTATCTACCATAATATTAGATAGGCAAACATTTACAAAGCCGAATTAACAGAACTTCAAATAGAAAAAAATGTTCAACCCGAATTTGTTTGGATTCCATCACACCAAGGAATTCGTGGGCAACGAAAGAGCGGATGAAGCTGCAAAAAAAGCAATCACGTTGGAAGAACCATATGTCCGAATATTACCCACATTAAATGAAACCAAATATTGAATAAAAAAAAAACAGCAAAAGAAATCTGAAACCAGGAATGGACCAACATGCCACCAATGAATCTACACCAAATCCGAAAATCAACTAGCGATACAACTCCGAACCTACCAAATAGCAGACTGCAAGTAGCAATAACAAGATTGAGAATTGGACAAACAAATCTAACTCATTGCTATAAAATAACAAAATCACAGCCACCATCATGCACCTTTTGTAACGAGCCTCTCGCAGTCAAGCATTTAATTGAAGAATGTCAAGGAATACAGCACGATATTGTATAGTTCAAACATTTAAATAATATGCAAATGATTCTCAATAATAGAAAAAACAAATAGAAAGAACAAACAAATAATAGAAAGAACAAATTGTAATTGAATTGTAAATAGTAACGTGGTCACTAATAACCTCGTAGTTGATGTGACCTTAAATAAAGTAATAATAATAATAATAATAATAATAATAAAAAAAAAAAAAAAACATTTACAAAACAAAATTTAAAAGTTTCTCTTCAGAAGATTCTCAAAGATGTGCGTGTTTTGAATTCTCCTCGATAGGCGTACCCCTTAAACGTTCCATTAACTATTTATTGTAAGCATAAAATCATTACTTCGATATTGCCTTTACATTTATAGTATCATTAACCGAAGTTGCAATTTCTACATTCCTATCACCGCACGGTCATGGTGCGTCGATAAGTCCGAGCAGAGGAGTAAGCGACCCTATTAACGACTCATTAGCGAAGTCGTTAACTCGTTCTTCGATGAAACGACGATTCATCGGTCGCTCAAGACTGCATATTCGCTCTTTATTAAACCGTCTCGCGGCTGAGCTATTACGCGTGAATTGCCTCCTAACTGATAATTCGAGATAACAGAATTCCACGTGACTAATTCACGAAATGACGGTTGAAAAGTAAGTTGGTCTCGCGTCTCGGTCGGTAACCCGCCTGGTCGGTTATACAGTGTTAACTTATACTTTTGTAATTATTCTCTGGCATGGTGAATGGAATGTAGGCGAGGAGGAGTGCTAAAAGCACGCATATGGCTGTTGTAAATTGTCAAGGAGACCGTGTGGTCTGTCATTGTCAGTTGAAAGCTTATCGGTAGCATCTGGCGTTTCGTTGGTCACGTTATGTCGAACGTATGGAAAGTAGAGAATAAGGAGGACGAACTGTGTAGAAAAATGTCTCTTTCTCTCTCTGTAAATCAAAATGCAATTTAGAAAGCTGCTGAGAAACCATTAAAAAACTAGCTGGTTATTGTTGCTCGCTTAATTTATATACCTATTTATGTTTATTTTGTATGCTACCCTTTACGGGCCACACAAGGAACTTCCCGATTTCCGATTACAGCGCAATCTATCGCGAATAAAAGAAATGTTTGAAACTAGTGTTTTGAAAAGATCTCATAGCCAGCTTTCGCAGTGCATGATACAAAATGAGGTGTTCCTGTTGTTAAAAATGTTAAAAAAATGTTAAAAAAATCATGTTGACTTTGATCGGTCCTTTCAAGGTCAAACGGACACGATCGTTCAATAGAATTTTTGAAACCCTAAAACATTTCTCCAAATCATTTTTCTCACAAATGTTCCACTTTGGGAAGTATTTGACTGTTTCCATACTTTTGTAGCACCCTGTATGTATATATATGTAGTGTAGTAAATTTATATTCTCCCATCTAGATTGCGTTATTGAGTTAAGTTTTCTTAAAAGTACTAAAAAACTATTGGACCGAATTAGAACAAAATCTAATCAGCTCTGAGTTGGATTGATACACATCGATTGCATCATCGATCATTTTGATCTCGCTATTAGTTTTTTAGAAAACGTTAACGAAAAATTTGTTTACACATGTACATACATACGCACACACATACACGCATATTTTCAATAACTTTTTTCTCAGGAACTATTGCACGAAATTGAACGAATGTTTTTTCCCCTTAAAGGTATGATTAAGGAAAGTGAATAAAAAATTTTTTGACGACACAGTTTAATAAACTTCTTCGATTTTCTGTTTCAGATTACCAGGAGAGCCAAAATCACCTGCGTCAGCGGATAACTTTTTCTTTTTGCACACATGCACATTATTTTGTAAATAAACGACGAAATATTATTTACCAAAAAAAAATTTTTTTATTTACTTTCCTTAAATCATACCTTTAAGGGGAAAAAACATTCGTTCAATTTTATGCAATTTTATGCAGTTCCTGAGAAAAAAATGATTGAAAATTGGCTTTTTTCTGTGCGGTCATAGTGAAATGCCCCCTTTGAAGTTTGAAAGTGAACAAGCGGAGAGCGTTTTTGCCACAATCTCGAGTATTAGCGAACAGTAAGGCTGTACTTTACAAAAGTTACCAATTGACAATGTTCGACTTTTAAATTCCATATGAGTTTGCCCTCCTTATCTCTACCCTCCACAGTTGGTTACGTTACGTGGAACGCTTGTCTAATGGCCCGATAAGTGGCTGCTTTCACCTCGAACTCAGAAGGAGGCGTGTCATAGTCGATTGGAAGGGGAAAAAAGGGGTAGGGATCGCGAAGAGGGCGCAGGGGTGGTTTTCTCGCTGGCTAGACGCGAAATAAAGAGTATGTAGAGCAAATGGGCGGCTAAGCTCGCCGTAGCATGGCATAATGATAACACGCTCGAATAATAAGGATAGCAGCAGAGGAGACAGGGTTGGATACGCACGCGTGGGCCCGCGTTCGGGGCCCGTCTTCCGCTTCCACTCCGGTGAACGTTCTGGCTTTAACTCTGGCTCAGTTCCACTACGTGCCTCCAGTATTGTACTCCGACGTCCTAGATACTTCGTTTACCTCGTCTGTTTTCTTTCCTCCCAGCCTCTCGGTACTCTTTGTCTGCGATTCATTCGTTCCCGCAAGGAATCTATTCCACCCACTATTCGAAAATTCAAATTTCACAACGTATTTCACGTTCGAAATAAAATTTTACAATCGTACGAGATTTTTCGTACAAGATTTTCTGTACAAGATTCTTCATAACATTGATCGATAGAAATCATTCGATTCGAGTGTTTCGGGTTCGAATAATTCACTCGACTCGAAGAAGTGGAAGATAACGGGTAGGACCAATGTTACGCGAAGTGTTACGTTTCCCAGTTGGCGTACTATATTCACTTTTTACATCTGTTTCGTTAAGGATCATCGATAGATACTGTCGCAACTGACGCATATTTTTAAAGATTAATCGAGAGAAGAAAGTTTGAAGTTTACAGGGGATGTGAAAGTGTTTCGACGATCCACCGCCGATGGCGCTGCGGGCGGGACTGCCCCCTCGCGAGGTCTCGTTCGAATGTCACAACTGATCACAAACGTTCACTTCGTCTCATGTTCTCCAACGAGAACAGGTTGTTCTCCCCGGTGTTGTTTCGCGCGATGTCTACTTCGAACGATCGCAGTGAATTTGTGACGAAGTATTCGTGAAACTTTATCGATTAAGACACGATATACTCGAAATATATTCATTAGCATAAAAGCTCGACGCGACAGTTTTTCCCGCGCATCTTCCGAAAGTGTTTCGAACGTCAGATCGAAGTGAACAATGTTTACAGTGAAGGTACTTTAAATTGCTCGAGTTCTTCGCTACAAATATCGAGAAGGAATTGCAATTAAAATTAGAATTTTATTCGGTGACTAACAATGCGACGAGGTTCTGCAATTTGCTATGCGCGTTCCTACGATTGATTGACGTACCGATCGGAATCCGAATCGCAACCTGGAAGAAATACGCGTTAAATATGCCAAGTTAATAATGATCAAAAACTATGAAGAGTGAATAAAATCGTGTAGACGAATAATGACGATTCGAAACTGAACCGGCGCGTTTAATTATTGAAAATTGACTGGAATATTGGAAGTTTGAATTAAAGTGGGTACCAAGATGGAGATTGTTAGTCTCGGGGTGATATTGACTGTACTGGTGGGTCCCATTATTGGCGAACAGAGGTTCGCCGAGACTCCCGCGTTATACCAGGAAGTGTCGTCGGGTGATGACGTTCAGCTACGGTGCAGGGTACAGGACAAGCGTGGTCAGTGCATATGGCAGAAAGACAGGAAGCCAGTGGGCATGCATCCGGACAAATACGAGTGGGCCAGCGGCCGTGGCAGCGATTGCACCCTCCTTATCAGGAGGGCCTCCCTCGACTTCGACGACGGCTACTGGGAGTGCCAAGTCACCTCTGGTGATTTCACGCGACAGGACGCCCTGACATCCTTGCCCTCGCGACTCCTCGTCAGAGGTGAGCTTCTTAAGGGGTTAGTCGCAGTCAGGAAGAGAAAAAACGACATTTCTTTGTGATTTTTGTTTAGTTATTAAATAATAATTTGCATAAGTAACAATTAAGTATATCATAAAGTATGTTTTAAAGAACTAAAAAACATTTTTTGTTTTAAGAAACGTTTAATCTATATCGTCATAACAGCCGATGACGTAGACGATGATTTATAAACATAGGTTTGCGGTGAGCAAGATTTCTCTACACTGGTTTACCTGAGGACAAAAACAAAGGTAGATTTCGAAAATATATTAGTCTAGCGGCTCCCTGAATGAAGGATTTTGGAAAAAATTAATTTCAAACAAGATGGCGTACATTTGAAGTTGATTTTCAAGTTTTTCGCTAAAATTAAGCGATTCAATACAGGATAAAAAAAAAGGTATACAAGAAAATAAAAAATTCTTCGATCAGGAACCCGTTAGTCTAATATGTTTTCTGAATCTACCTTTAGTTTTGTTTTCAGGTGCACCAGTTCGAAGAAATCTTGCTCACCGCAAACCAAGTGGCCACCTACGCCATCGCCTGTTATGACGAAATCGATTAACCTTTTTTTAAAACAAAAAGTCTTTTATAGTTCTTTAAGACATACTTTGTAATATATTTACATTTCATTAATAAAAATTATTATTTAATACCTTAGAAAAACACACACACAAGAAACTGCCCGTTTCCATTTTCCTGACTGCGACTAACCCCTTAAATGTTAATATTTAATTTGCAATTATATCGTTAAAAATGTCATGTTACAGTGGCGTTCAAAAGTTCCCGGCCAGATGGTTTTCGCGATTTTTCTTCCAAAAGAAAACTGTTAATACAATTTTATTAGAATTATTTTTCTTACGTCTTTATTTGTAGAATACGTGAACTAACGTGTTCAAAAGTTCCCAAAAGGCCAGCACGTTTAACAAAAAAGTTATGCTTGGTTTTCATTTTGTAAATATTTCGGATTACATTATTTAACATATTATAATTAATATTTCGTAGCCATGCCTTTTGAAGCAATAACAGCAGCACAGCGATGAGGCATGGATTCAATTAACCGAATAATATAATAGCATGGTATTTTGTTCCACTGTTCTATTAAATTCTGAAAAAAATTGTGTCTTACTAGAACTTCTATGATTTTTCATTCGACGTTTCATCTCTCCCCAGAGATGCTCTATCGGATTTAAATCCGCAGAGTAAAAAGGTCAGTCTAAAACCTGTACTTCATTTGTAGACAACCACCTTCTTACGATTTTCGATGCATGTTTGGGGTCGTTACCATGTTGGAAAAACCAATTTTCTGGCATTTTCCTTTTATCATATGGTAGCATATGACTTTATAAAATCTCTTTGTACATCACGCTATTCATGATACTCTCAATTTTTATAAGAGAACCAACTCCTTGAGCGGAGAAAGCTCCCCATACCATGATGCTTCCTCCACCATGTTTAACAGTTGGTGTTTGATATCTTGGATCATTTCTTTTCCCAACTAAAAGTTGTACATATTTTCTTCCATCGCTGCCGAACAAATTAAATTTAGATTTAATTTAGATCTAACAAAACTTTTTTAACACTGTAATTTTGGAAGAAAAATCGCAAAAATCATCTGACCGGGAACTTTTGCACGCCACTGTATACTCAACAGGAACCGCATGTCCCAACCGATCCGTTAATCGATAACACTTGCGTCAATTTATCCTTCCTTGGTTTTTACTGTTTTTTGAAGTAGGTTAGCGATGTGGCGCTTCGCGTAACATCCTCCATATGGCTACCTGTAACTGGTCGTTCTCGCAAATATTAATGCATCCTGACTGTACATATATCATAGGTGATTTTTATACTTATCACAAAGGATAAGTTAGAGAAATTCTGGGAAATCTTGAAAAATCTTCCGACTACTTAGACTCCCTTTCTTTCCCAGGATAACAGCAGAGAAATTTTCCAGGCACACTATAAAAACTCGACTCTCTGCGGTATATCGCTGAGTAGTTCTCTAGGACCAGAGAAGTATTTTTTTTAGTCACTTGAGATGGATATTCGATGCCCATGTTCGTGTGATCTTGCCGCCTCGAAATGGCCTGGGAAAGAAATTAGGAACACATTGCCAGATTCCTTTTCAAGATTCTACTGTTCTGAAAGAATCAAATAACAAAGAAATGAAGATTACAAATTCTGTGAAAATTTAATTTGAAATTATACTATCATTTCCTTGATACATAAAACGCGTTTCGAAGCTACGATTTACATAATACTTATGTTTAATAACTGCACTTTAGACTTTCTTGTTATTGCCAAGGCATGCAATTGGTTTTTTATTTTTATTTTTTTTTTTTAGAAACGAAGTTAGCCAACGTGAAATATAAAGCGAGCTAATTCTCGAGCAATCGTATCTCAATTTCAACGATTACCATGTAATCCGATTTCCAGATTTGCAACTAAGGAATCCACGATGCTCGCGTAACAGTTCCTATAACGTTTCACGAGACATTAAAGCGTTAAATACTGCGCTTAGTTTTAACGGAACGTTGAGTTTTTACATCACCGCTGGAAAATTCACTTTCCTTCGATCCACCTCGAATCGTATGCATAATCAGATGCCTTTTCAATGGAACGATGCATGTTTTACAAAGGGTTACCTGAAATTCGAACACCTCGTGTTGCATTCTACTTTCGTCTTCTACCGAAAGCCTTTTTTCCAACGTAATTTCATTCCTTCCGATTCATTATTATTTAATTATCGATAATTAAGTGGAATTCCAATTCCTGATAACCGGTTGTCTCACAATCCAATTGCTCGGGTACTTATTACCCGATAATTACTGTTTAGTAATATTGAATTACAAATGAGTAATTGGTATTAATTTCCAGGACGAAGGACTTCTCAATTTTTTGTTTTTATTTTTAAAACCGAAAGCCTTTTCCGCAATGTAATTTTTTTGCTTGCGATTCATTATTATTTAATTATCGATAATCAAGTGGAATTCCAATTCCTGATAATCGGTTGTCTCACAATCCAATTGCTCGGGTACTTATTACCCGATAATTACTGTTTAGTGATATTGAATTACAAATGAGTAATTGGTATTAATTTCCAGGACGAAGGACTTCTCAATTTTTTGTTTTTATTTTTAAAACCAAACGTCATATGAATGAACCGTAAATATAAAACAGTTTTCTTTTTAAATTCGACTGTTTTAGCGACGCGCTCGTAATTCATTTTAACGAAACGCGGCGTCCTGTTTGGGCAACAATGAATCACCGCGTTAAGTAAATCGTATATTTTATGTAAAGCGTTTATTGTTGCGAGTGTTTAGCATGTGTAACCTAATCGTTGAATCTTTTGTTGCGTTGCGGATTTCAGTGAAACCCCGGAAGCCACGGCTGGAGTACGGGGGAACGATTTTAACCACTGCCCTAACTTTAAGGGAGGGTCAGGAAGTTACCATTTCCTGCGTATCAAGATATGGAAATCCACCGGCGCTCATAAAGTGGTAAGCCGTGTCAATTAGCTTGCTGAAAGGGTAGCATAATGCGCCTTAACTAATGCAACTGCATATACTTTACAGTCGGCATAAAACTCACGGTGCACCGGCCATTTAATTCAGGAGAAATTTAAAGAACGTAGGAACTTGTTCTTTGAATTTATTTATAATATAATTAAGTGGATACAAATTTCTATAATAAACGTTCATTTATTCAATAGTATGGTTAATTATTGGTACTAGGATTGATAGTTATTTATTTCTTTTTCAATTTTAAAATAAATAATTTGCTAATTTAAAATAAAATAAAAATAAATACAGTGGGTGCAGAAAGTATTCGTACACCGATCAATTTCCAAAAAAACTATTTAAAATTGTAATTTATTAACTTATTTTTTATAAACAATGACATTCTACATATTCTCGGAAATGTCTACAACAGATAGATTACAAAAAAGAAATAGCTATTTATGTAAGTTGCGAAATTGACAAGAAAAAAAACAATTAATCGATAGAAATGTTGAAGCAACAAGTATTCGGACAACTGTTTAAAAGTACTTTACTGGAAATTTGATGTTTTCTAATTCGTACGGATCAATAAACTAACGTGTTTACGTGACAAACTCTGCTGTAAATGGTTCATCATAAGAATCGTAGAAATACTTATTGCTTCTATACTTTTACCCAATTATCCCATTTTATATTGTTAATTTCACAAATTATATTAACTAGTAAATGTTGTTTGGATTATATCTATCTTAGAGACTTCCGAGAATATGTAAAATATCATTGATTACAAAAAAAGAAGTTAAGAAACTACAATTTCACACAAAAGTTTTTTTGGAAATTAATCGATGTACGAATACATTCTACACCCACTGTAAGTTCCTATGTTCTTCAGATCTATTTATACAGCTTTCTACGTTTCTATTTACAATATAGTACAGATCAACCCACGGTATAATGTCGGACTAGAACTCAAAGCAAGTAAGAAATGCTCCTGATGGAGGAGCCTAAGAAAGGAGACGAGATTCAGCGAAAAATGAAAGTAATTTTTGCCATAATTCACGGCCAATTAGCAGCGAAACCTAGAATCGGTCTTCCTGGATTTTCGTACTTTCCTCTTTATCCCACTTTCTAAACGCCAATGAAGGATCTGAATACGTAACGACGAACCTTCGAAACAATAATTCACTTTATTAATCATTCACAAATTCGAATACTTTATCGAACACGCCATGGGCCGAACAACAAACAGTCTAAAGTAAGAACAATTTTCTTGGAACGTCTCGGGGGTCTCCGGTTCGAAATTTGAAAGTCCGATTAGGGCCTTTCTGGGAAGCTATGTTTACAAGCCGTAACGTACCCAGATTGCTATGAAAATTGTAGCGGTGTTCATGAAAATTGTAACACCGCTCATGCGAAGGTGATGATCAGACCAGAGCGAGTTTTATGTTAGAAGAATTTAGATGAGGTGTGGCCTGGGCTGGTCGCTAGACCATGAAAAAGAAAGAGACCCTGCTAGCGAAGTTCTCGGCTGCATAAACACCGCGTTATGGGTTCTTGCTTCGGCTGGCCTCTGTGAACCATGATTTATACGTTACTAGAAGCCAAAGCACGGCGCATTTTGTTACAGACACCATCTGGTTTCAATTATACCTCAAATTTCTATCATTTTAATAACTAATTAGAACTGTTAGGTCACCCCATAAGTAATGTCGTTTCTCGACGCTAACTTTCGGTGAAAGAAATTAAAACTTACGTTCATTCTAATCATAAAGTATTTATAGTAATAGTTTTAGTTCCATTTTTTAAAACGTTCTAGGTTTCGATTTAAAAGTGACAAAAATTCCATTTATATATTTTTTTTATATCCTTGTTACGCATTATAAATCTATAAGTGTTCCCAATAGTTGGTTTTCGTTACCAAATCTCTGACACCGTATTTTCATTTACAGATATTAGTTGCGAGAAACCGTGTCGATCGCCACTGAAACGCGGTAATACATTGTCAGCATTCCTTCGAATGAAAGTTGCCGCAAAAAAACAATAGGAATGAAATATAACTATCGTCGGAAAGCGTTTTACTATTGTCTACGATCGTTCGTAGCAATGGAATATGGAAGACACGAATTTCATAGAAACTACGACTTTATAAGCATTACTATTTCTTCGTATAAAATTCATTTTAATTTGGTGCAAACGGTGATGCACATTCCGCGAGGAAATTTTTTTTTTACACGCTTAGCGAATAGAATATGGAACACTACGAGAACAGTTTCTAATTTCACACTTCGCCTGGCGCTTACAAAAATTCTACAAATTATGATAACTTGCGCAGGCCGCATCCACTCTTTTACTGCCTTTAATAGGCACGGTGTCTCTAAACAGTTCCCCGTTTCTTCGTCTTCGTTTCGTCCCCCGTTGCTCGGGAAGATGTAGTGCCAAGCATAATTATGCAGATTGCGGCCGTGGAAGCGGTGAAACTGGCCACGAGCATAGTCTCCCCGTGAATCACTCTAGAAAGGGTTATAAACCTTGAATATCGACGTTTGTGGGAAGTTGCTGAACGGCTTTCCGGAAACTTGGGTGCAACTAGTCGTGTCTTCGATGCAAAGTCAACATTAACAATCATGTCCCTTCCATCATACGGCTAGCAATGTTAGTAGCGGAGCTGGAAAATGTTTAATTTAGTACATTTTGCTTAACTGTCTTTAGAACTTCTTGTATTGTGCTGTATTGTACTGTGTGATGCTGTGTGTACTGTAATACTGTGTATTATACTATATTATGCTGTATTATACAGTATCACACTGTATTATGCTGTCTTATACTGTGTATTATATTGTACTACGTTGTATTTTGAT